AGTTCTGCTTTTATCCTGGTTTAGTTCTGATTCACAGTGCTAGTTCAGTCCTGTTTTAGTCCTGGATTAGTTCTGGTTCAGTCCTCTTTTAGTCCTGATTCACAGTCGTGGTTTAGTCCTGTTTTAGTCCTGGATTAGTCCTGGTTCAGTCTTCTTTTAGTCCTGATCCACAGTCCTGGTTCAGTCCTGTTTTAGTCCTGATATGCAGTGGGAGGATTAGACCTTCATTCGTGTAATGGCCTGGATCATAATAATAATAAACCCCATTTGTGCTCCTCATCCGAGCGTTACATCACGGGCGTTTGGACCGTCCTCTTTTCATATCTCAAATAAAAGAATTTATTTCTGTTTATGACAAATCAAACTGCGCTTTTGTGAGACGCCCATGCTGTCAACTCCCAAACTACAGCTACAGCAAGAGAAAGAATGAACTATAAATACATGTGAACCTGTCCTGGATGAGACCTGGTTTTAGTCCTGGTTTAGTCCTGGTTTTACCCATAGTTTAGTCTTGGTTTAGTCCTAGTTTAGTTCTGGTTTAGTCCTGATTTAGTCCTGGTTTAGTCCTGGTTTTAATCATAGTTTAGTCCTGGTTTACTCCTGATTTAGTCCTGGTTTTAGTCATAGTTTTGTCCTGGTTTTAGTTAGTGTTTAGTCCTGGTGTTAGTCCTGTTTTAGTCCTGTTTTAGTCCTGGTTTAGTCCTGGTTTAGTCCTGGTTTTAGTCAGTATTTAGTCCTGGTTTTAGTCCTGGTTTAGTCCTGGTTTAGTCATCGTTTAGTCCTGGTTTAGTCCTGGTTTTAGTCCTGGTTTAGTCCTGGTTCAGTCCTGGTTTTAGTCATAGTTTAGTCCTGGTTTTAGTCTTGGTTTAGTCTGGGTTTATTTCAGCAACTTTGGGGTGTTCCCAGTCAGTTTCTTTCTAGAGGGACTTTAGACCTGGGATAGACCGGATATAATTCTGTTCAGCCCTGGTGTAGTCCTGGAATAGACCTGATTGGATCTGCTCCATCTGATCCTCCTCTCCTCCTCCTCCTCTCCTCATCTCCTTTTCCTTTCCACTCCTCCTCTCCTCCTCCTCTCATGTTAGTGTGAGCGTTGCTTCGATTGCTCAGACAAAGTAAACCGCTCGTAGCATCCTAATCCTGCAACATTGATCGGACCACCTGTCTCTCTCTCATCACTCACTCACGCACAGAGGGGGAGAAGGAGAGGAGGAGAGAAGGGGAGAGAGAGGTTAGAGAGGGGGAGGAGAGAGGAGAGACAAGGACGCCCATCTGCCTCTCTCTCCTCACTCACGCACAGAGGGGGAGAAGGAGAAAGAGGGAGAGGAGGAGAAAGGGGTAAAGAAGATGAGAGAGGAGGAGAGGAAGGGTAGAGAGGGGGAGGAGAGAGGAGAGAGAGGGAAGGATGACCATCTGTTTTTCTCATCACTCACTCATGTAGAAGAGGAGAAAGAGAGGGGAGGAAGAGGAAACAGAGAAGGAGGAGAGGAAAGGAAAAGGAAAGGGGAGAAGAAAGGGAGAGAGGGAGAGGAGAGGGGGAGAGAGAAAAAGGGGAGTGGGGAGGGGAGAGGGAGATAGGAGAGGGAAGAGAGGAGGAGGATTACCTGTCTCTCATCACTCACTCACACAGAGGGGAAAAAACAACTGTGAGACAGAAGAGAGAGGGAGAGGAGAGAGGGAGGAGAGGCAGAGGAGAGAGAGGAGAGACAGAGGACAGAGAGAGGAGAGAGAGGAGACACAGAGGAGAGAGAGAGGAGAGAGGGAGGAGAGAAGGAGGAGAGAGAGGAGAGACAGAGGAGAGAGAGAGGAGAGAGGGAGGAGAGAAGGAGGAGAAAGAGAAGAGAGAGAGGAGAGACAGAGGAGAGAGAGGAGAGAGAGGGAGGAGAAAGAGAAGAGAGAGAGGAGAGAGAGAGGAGAGAAGGAGGAGAGAGGAAGGAGAGAGAGGAGAGAGGGAGGAGAGAGAGAGAAGAGAGAGAGGAGAGAGAGAGGAGAGAGGGAGAAGAGAGAGGAGAGAGGGAGGAGAGACAGAGGAGAGAGAGAGGAGAGAAGGAGGAGAGAGAGGAGAGAGGGAGAGAGAGAGAGGAGAGAGAGAGGAGAGAGAGGAGGAGAGAGAGAGGAGAGAGGGAGGAGAGAGAGAGGAGAGAGAGAAGAGAGAGAGGAGGAGAGAGAGAGGAGGAGAGAGGAGAGAGGGAGGAGAGACAGAGGAGAGAGGAAGAAGAGAGGGAGGAGAGAGAGAAGAGAGAGGGAGGAGAGAGAGAGGAGAGATGGAGGAGAGTGAGAGGAGAGATG